CCCCGCCCCTGCCCCCCCCCCTGCACCCCAATCCCCTGCCCCAGGTCACAGCCCCCTCCCAGACTCTGCACCCCCTCCTGCACCCCGATCCCCTGCCCCAGGTCACAGCCACCTCCTTCACCTAAACTCTCTCCCAGATCCTGCACCCCAATCCCTTGCCCCAGGTCACAACCCCCTGCCAGACCCTGCACCCCAATTCCCTACCCTGAGCTCTCTTCTGCACCCAACCTCCTGCACCCCAATTCCCTACCCCGAGCTCTCTTCTGCACCCAACCTCCATCCAAAACCCCACACCTCCCCCATTAATATAATGGAAGAGCACAGCCCTTGACTACTTACCAAATTCTTGGAGTGGACCCCCCCCAAAAAACAATTACCCCTCCCCCCAATCCAAGCCACCCCTGGGGCAGTCCTGCATAACTCCAGACTCTGCTGTGTGCTCAGCTAGTGTCCATCGCCCTGCCGGCTATTTGAGTCATCTCACACCAAGGGCTGCCACGTTGTGGCTTTGGTCACAGGCAGGAGGCAGTAGACTCGCTGATAGCGGGGTTTTAAATAGCCCCGGGTCTGAGCCGCAGAGCTCACAGGCAGCCCCCATCCCCGCGGGCCGGGGACTTTCACAGCGAGGAGTCAGCGCTGCTCTATTTGCGCAACGGGGCCGTATCTAAAATTTGCATCAAAACCAGTGGTTGGGGTGGGGGGTTGCTTCAAAATAAAACCTCAGTGGAAAGTGTCATGAAGGTTTCATGGCCCCCCATTCACACGGCTGGATTCCCAGGGGCAGCAGTGTCACAACCGGGACCGTCACAGGCGGGGCCTTCTGAACGGGGGAACAGTGGGGCATAAAACCGGACTGGAGAGGAGACAGAGCCGGATGGGATTGCGGGGGGTGGCACAAGATGGGCTACATGCTATTGCAGGCCATTCGCGACTGCCGGCAGCACATCCCCCAACAGCTGGAGACGGGGCACTAGGTGGGAGAATTCTTAAGAACCTAAGAACGGCCAGACTGGGTCAGACCAAAGGTCCATCTAGCCCAGTAGCCTGTCTGCCGACAGCGGCCAGCACCAGGTGCCCCACAGGGGGTGGACCGAAGACAATGAACAAGCGATTTGTCTCCTGCCATCCTTCTCCAGCCTCTAATAGCCTTTTATGGACCTAAGCTCCATGAAATTATCTAGTTTGTCTTTAAACTCTGTTATAGTCCTCGCCTTCGCAGCCTCCTCTGGCAAGGAGTTCCACAGGTTGACTACAGAAGAACTTTCTTTATTAGTTTTAAATCTGCTACCCATTAACTTAATTTGGTGTCCTCTAGTTCTTTTATTATGGGAACTAATAAATAACTTTTCTTTATTCGCCCTCTCCACACCACTCCTGATTTTATAGACCTCTATCATATCCCCTCTCAGTCTCCTCTTTACTAAACTGAAAAATCCCAGTCCTTTTAACCTCTTCATAGGGGACCTGTTCCAAACCCGTAATCATTTTTAGTTGCCCTTTTCTGAACCCTTTCCAAGGCCAAAATATCTTTTTTGAGGTGAGGAGACCACATCTGTACACAGTATTCTTCCCGAGGTGCTCGGCTGCTGGGTCTTGCCCCCATGCTCAAGGTCTAACTGATCACCAGATTTGGGGGCAAGAAAGAATTTCCCCCCAGGTCAGAGTCCCTTCCCCTGTAATAGCAAACAACCGCCATGCCCCGGTCTCCCTCACCGTGACTCACACTCACACCCACTCCCCGCAAACCCACTGGAGCACAGCAGGGCCGGGGGTGGGGTACGACAGGCCTGCACATCTGGGGAAGGCGCTGTGGCAGAGACCCTGGGGGGTTTTCACCTTCCTCTGCAGCAGGGGGCATGGGCCACTTGCAGGGTTAAACTAGTGTAGATGGTGGATCGTCTGCAGCAAGAAGCCTTTATACCGTGATGTGGGGGTGGCAGTCACTCGGCCAGAGGCTATGGGTCTGTTTTGGGAGTAGGTGAGTGAGGTCCCGTGGCCTGTTGCATTTTTCTGTCCTTTCGCCTCTTGCATGTTTGCCTTGTTTTATCTTCCAGGAAATGGGGCTGGACTTTAATAGCAGCAGCTCCAGACCATTTCAACTCCTCGTTTCGCTTTCCCGCCCCCAAAAAAGGACAGTTATTACCATCTTTAAACAGAGCACCAGCTGTCAGATGGCCATTGCCGTAGAAAAGCTCTCCACAGCTAACGGGAACAAGGGCGCTCGGTAAAACGAAGCCTTACTGAAGGCTTCACAAGGCAAAGGCTTTGTTTTCTGTAAATTCAATAGACGCTGATAAGCAAGACTGACTGCACGCTCTCTCGAGCGGGGTGCAGCCTGGAACCTAAACCTCCCCAGCGATGGGGCTTCGGCCACCTTCCTCAGCAGACTCCTCCACTGCCTCCAGGAGCAATTCCCGCTATTCACCGTCACTGATCCCTAACCCTCGGCCTGTTACACCTGCCTCCCGCGTGGCCCTCGCCCCCTCTGCGGCTCCTGGGTTCCTCACGTAAGAGGGCGGTGAGGAGCTAGGCTGGGCGGCTATTGGCCCTCCCTCGGCGCTGGCCTTTCTAAAGTCCCCCCCGAGAGGTCAGCGAACTTTTCGAGTGTCAGCAGGGCCCACGCGGCAAGCAGAGCCGGCAGGAAATGCGGCTTCCTAATGTCCTGGGGAGACTTCGCTTAGCAGGCGAGAAAGGAGAAGCTGCCTAGGGCTGCGGACGGAAAGGGAAGAGAACCACGCTGCAAGCCCGGGGCGCCGTGGAACAGGCAGACAGCTTGGGCGTGGTCCTGCAGGGCCTGGAGCACCCCTGGCTCCCAGCAGGCTCAGAGCGCCTCTCAGGATGAGGCCTGGACCTGAGCCCCAGGTGAGGTTGAGAACAGCCAGCTGAAAGGCGCTTGAAAGCAGTTCTCCATTTTGGAAAGAGCCCGGCAGCCCGCCCACAGGTAAAACTGCATTGCTCTAAACAGCAGAGACTCCCTGCCTCCCGCCCCTGGATCTCCCCCCTCTGAGTCCAGGAGGGGGCCCCCCCCCCCCC